TGCATTTTCTAAATTAAATTAACATTTATAATCTTCAACTCCAATTCAGCACTATTGGCTAAGAATGTATCTAAGCTGTCATTGAAAATTACGGCATGGGTTTTTGAGTAATAACATAATTCTGAAAGGTTGCTTCTACTCTAAGTTCTCATGTAATTTCTAGATCGTGACTATTGATAATTCAACTCTGGAAGATATATTATCATATATAAATAGCTTCTCCCTACCCTGTCATCAATGTCTGTGTGTTTGTGCATATATGTGCAAACATATCCATATATAATGCACACATACACACACACACATAATCATGAGGCATGCACCCTATGTACATGTATATGTATACGTAGTCCATTACCCACTCTTTTCAACTCACTGAGTTCTCTTTACATTCAAAGAGCTAGGATATTAGGTAAACAGAAGGAAAAAATGGTGATTCAGAAGATTGGGTGGGGGAAGCTAAGAAAGATACCACAATTTTTAAGACTTTGGGAAATCGGTCTTCTCTGATTTCAAAGATATCTACTTGTTCTTTCAAGATGTTGAGCCTCAAACCAACTCGAAGATATGTGTAACATGTTTTAATAAGTCCCCCTTTTTGAGGAAAAAGCAGGCTGGGGAAGGGTTAAGAAAGATACTAAAGGTATGTAAGTGGTGAAACTAGTTCTTTTTACTCCAAATATTCTTCTAGGATACTAGAATCCCAAGTATTCTTTTAGAATACTAAAAGTAGATGTGACACTGGAGAATCTCTAATTCACATCTCACATTTTCAGTCAGTCTCTGGAAGGTGCTTTTCTAATCTTTGTGGTGGCCTGAAAGTGTGAGAAGTTGCATAGCTGCTTGGCTTCATATTCTACAATGTATGGAAGCCAAACAGCCAGCATGCCAAGGTTTGGGGATGCTTGACATTTCCCAGTCTCAAAATCAATCATCAGTCTGAACTCCACGGCTATTACTCAGATTCAGAGGTCTGCCATACGCAGAGACCACGAATTTGAAACAATTATTTTCTCAAAAGGCATTACTAACAATTATGGGAGCAAAGTCCCCAGATCGCCCTCCAGGATGTATGAATCCCCAGGAAGTGGCTACGCATCTTTGATGAGTAGTATGACTTTGGCTTACTCTCATTTCAATGCATTTATATTTCATAAACACTACATTTAGATGTAAAATGAACAAGTCAACGAAAATACTTACTTAAAGATTTTCTGTGCTCTGGTCTCTGTTCTTTTATATCACTGTCGTAGTGACTTAGCAATTCAGTACTTGAGGATCTTTGGATTTTGAATAATTCCAGGTTTCTTGATGAACAACTTGAATCCTTTGGCTGAAAAAACAATGAGACTGAATAATCTTACAAGGAAGAAAAGACTTACTAAACAGTTTTGTGACTATTTTGATGACAGATTTAAGAAGAAGTTTGAAATAATTATTTTGGGACAGTATAGATCTATATTAAGCTCAATACTCAAATTTGATAATGGTATATGGTGCTTATTAAACGCTGTGCATTATTCTAAGCACTCTTTATGAATTAACTCAATTAACCATTACTATAGTTCTATGAAGTAGGTGGTATTATTATTATGCTTATTTTCCAAGATGAAGAAACTGAGGCCAAAAGGGAAAAGTAGGCCACCCAGGTAATCAGTCAACAGAACCAGTATTTAAATGCAGGCAGTCTGGCCCCAGAGTCCATCCACTTTTAAAGACAAAAACCCCTGCATGTGTGTGCATACACACACATACCCCTATAAAGGTACTATGATGATGAGGGGGAGATGACAACTTGTAATTTTCTAAAGTCTTAGTTCCTAAATAAAATAATACAAGATTACAATTAATTATCAATAATATCACACAGAAAATGTTGTATTTTCCTCTTGTATGCCAAACAAAAAACTCTCAAGAATATTTTCTCTCAAAATTTTGCACATACTCACATCCTAAAATTAGATAATTGGCCTAAAACAGTATAAAATGAGTACTTTTAAGAAATTTGACTCTTTGAGAAAACATACTCTGAATGTGTGCTTTAGGATAATTTTGTGAAGTTCTTGATAGGTAATTTTCATGAGAAGAACAATATAACTTGGCTAGAAGAAAAATACAAATCAGTACAAAGAGATATTATTTACTGGTATTATAAATAGTCTGGTCATAAATAGATTCATATTTATTTTCAAGACTATGGGCTTAAATATATTGATATCTATTTTCAAGGCTATATTTATTTTCAGACTGTATAAACTGAGTGTTAAAAATTCAGCAGTTATTAAGCGCTTGTGTGCTTTTTACAGCCTCCAGTAAATGAATGTCCATGTTATTTCAGGGAAAAAAAAAAGAAAGAATGCACTGCGTTTTTGAAAGAGAGAAATTAAATGACAAAATGACATTTAATTCCACAATATCTGCTGAAAAGGGTTTTAGTGGACTCTATTTAAACTTAAAAGAACTTAATATCTCCCAGTCTATAGGATCTATTCAAATGCATGTGCATTATATGCCTGAACAATAAAATTTAAATGGCTACATTTTAATTAATAAAAGTAACAGCCAAAACAAATACATACCAATCTGTCAATTGCATTTTTGATAGCATGGAACCAATCCAATATAATGAAGTCAATATCTGACTGGAGAAGGAATTCATTTCCAGATACTGTTGTAATCTGAAAAAAAAAAAAATCGACAGGTAAAGAAACCATGTAAGGTAGCTCTCTTACATTTAAAGAAATAACTTAAAAAAAAAGAACAACAGTTTAATGCACTGAAATATTTTCTAGTATTCCAGTAATTGTCTTTCTGGGAACTAGAAGCATTTTGAACTGCTCTCTATAAACTGTTTTTTCATGTCATAACAAATACATTGTTGTTTTAGTAATAGAACGATTGACTCAGAGTAGGGCTAGAGCTGAATTACTCCAACTGAAGAAGAAACAAGTCAGGAAGTTCAGCGCAATGCAGACGGCGCATACTTCAGACAGACCTCACAGAAAAACGCATGTGGGGGGGTCAGCAGTCACTCTGCACTTTGGGCTCCTTCCTGTTTGTCTTTTTCAAATTGGAAAGTATCTCTACATTTCATTTCCTTTTATGGAGGGCTCTAACACAAATTATTTACCAAAAAGACAAATGCAGACTTCCAAAAGATCATTCACATGAATCACATTTGGCAATTTCTACTTTTCTGTCATAAAGATATGCAAGATATTAATAAAGGACCAATTTCCCCACAAAGGGAGTACATTAAAATAAAAGTTCATTTACATAATTTGAATCTCTCCGGGAGAGTATTTATCAGATGCGCATCCGGGCTCCTGACTCTCTGCACTGCTAAGTGGTAGGCAATGTTTAGCTTGTAACTGGACGTTTTTCTTTACAGTAACTTATTCTCCTCAGATTTATGAGAGAAGGACAGATACGACCCTATAGAAACAGAGCAATGCTCTTGGTTTCACATATAAACGGCTATGTAGAGAAGAATTTGATTGGAGTGGGTGTGGACATGCTTTTTTGTATTATGCCATCAATCTGAACTGTGAAGATGTTTTTTCCTTTTGTATTATGGACTTTTTGTTGCAACAGAAAGATGAACGTTTTCTGACTACTGTCACACATCAAGTAAGGCTTTAGAGGCTTAGAGGACTGACATTTCCCATATTCAAGCAGGAGCCAGTCACCTCTTGTTAGCCTTACTTGCTCTAAACAGGAGGTGAATGCTGAAATGTGGCATAGGTTCAGAAAATCACAGAGCAAAAGATGGAGATTTTACATCATTTGCGTTTACCTGGATGGAGCTAAAACACATTCTTCCTCGTAAAGTATCTCAAGAATGGAAAAAGAAGTATCCAAAGTACTCAGTATTAATATGAAAAACAAATACACACACACACAAAAGATAAAACACAAATATAGTCGAGCCAGGGGGAGGGGAGAGGAGTGAAAGGAGAGGAGGGATGGGGAGGAGGGAGGGCAATTGGCAGGATCTTACCTCACACTGTGAGGGTGTTTCAGCACACGCCCTGGGTGAAGGGCTCAACTACAACTTGAACTTTACCTTAGAACTTAGAACAATGCAACCTGAACATCTGTATTCTCATATTACTTGAAATAAAAAAGTAGACTTAAAAAAATAAATACACACACACAAGAAAATTACAAATCCTACTTTAGGCTATCTCTGTAATTCTATCATTATCTTTAATATTATTACAATTATTACCCCAATGGCACATTCTGAAGGTTTCAATGATTCTTATGGCAACATATAATGACGGCATCTTGGAGTTTTTAAGAAATCTTTTACTGCACATGTGCATTTATTTTTCAAAAAATCCCTATAGATATTCAACATTACTTAGTACTAGGAAGCAGCCCTCTTGAGTAAAATGGATTCCAATATCAAATGTAGTCTCTATTGTAAGGACAGAAACTGTCCAAAATGCATGCACTAACAAGTGAAAGACTGGAAATTAATAGGATTTAATTACCTACGCTAGAATTTGACAGCTTACCAGGACCAACGATTCTCATTCATTTTCCTCTCTCTCTCTCGATACTCCATGTAAAATTTAAGAAGGCTTAAAATAGTTTTCTGTTTTATGTATTTAGTAAACGATAGCTAAGGTGAGTGATGTTTGCCTAATTATCTGAACGTCACTGCAATGTTCTTTACTCACATAAAGTTCCAAATATTTACCTGATAAAAAATTTCCTCAGAAATAGTCATCTAAAAATATAAGGTCTAACTAATATAAGCAAAGTAGGAATATCCTCTACTTTCATCCTAAATTTAAACATTTTGATAGGAATGTATTATATAAATCATAATTTGTAAATAGAACACAAAGAAAAAATGAACTAGCCCAAACACAATGTACAATTGAATAAAATATTCGTCTGCCAGTATAAATAAACCATTATTAGAATTATAAAAAGGAACAACATTTTAAAAGTACAAGAAACAAACATAATTAGATTTACTGTATTATGAGGGTTTATGAAAGAGCCAATATGGTTCAGTTTTCAGTCCAGTAAATTCAAACAGTGATAAAATATAAGTACTTTAGCAGCACATTTGCATTTTTGGTGGATGCTATGCCATGCAGAGGGGATCTTTTACTGCTAACACAACCAAAAGCAAAACGTATTTTAAAAGTTCTTTTGTCCAACTGTATTACTGCATTAATCATACATAATCAGTGATTTACGAATTCATTTCGGGAAGCTAGATCAGAGCACTATACGAATGCAATTCATTCAAAACATACTATCAGAGAGATACAGTTCACATCCCTTCCTCTGTCTTCCCACTAATCTTTCAAGTGACTAGGCAAGGCAGTCTGGAGAAGTCTGCTACTGCTCTCTACAGTTTAAACGCATCCACTTCTTAATTACAGTCAGTAATTGACTTTGTTCTGTTCCATTCCAGTCACTCACAGGAAAGTAGTTTCAAAATCTTCGACTGGTAAAGCCCATTTAATTCAGGTTTCTCAATCCGCTTTTTTACATTACCTCTTTAGGATTTCTGATAAGTGGTTTGCTGAATCATATTTGCACTTTGAACAATCGAATTTTCAACACTCTTGGGGGAAACAGACGTCAGTGAGGAACGTTAGCTTTGACTAAATCTTTTGATTGAACAACTCATGAAGACAATCTAAAGTGATGGAGAACTAATAACAGACAAAAAGGATCTGCGATCGAGCCACACTAATGTACTCTTTCTGTATCGTGTCTTGCCTCCATGACAGATGCTAGGGTGAAGGAATGAAGGAAGAACTTACAGAGAACATGACAGGTTCAGATAAGAGGTAGTGGTCTCCACCTTACTTAGAAACCATAGTAGGCAAATGTCCCTTGAAAATCCTCATCAACACCAGGTTGTATTTTAAAGGGACATATCAGAGCATGAAAGCAGTCTTCAGGAAGTGTGTTAGTGTTTCAATAGTAAATATCCTTTAGGACCCATCTGGGGCATGGTGCCTCAAACTTTTTCACACTAAGTAAGGGTCTATCTAATTCTTGCTGGTAACAAGTTTATTCCCAGGGAACTATGGAAGCACGTCCACTGAGCAACATGTAGATTATGTTCATTCCTAAAGGCTTTTTGGTAGTCATTCAACAATTGGTTTCCCTTGGACTTGGAACAGTTTGTGTCTTTGTTGATGCTTCTGTGAAGATGGAGGCAGGTATATGCAAGCTCCAAACTTTACTGATAAGAGATGAAGAGGGAAGAAATTTTTTAGGTTTTAATTAATTGGAGTGTTATTGTATTAACTTAAAACACTTAAAAGAGTTTTAAGAAGTAGTGTGTATGTTCATTTAAGTACTGTCCTTTTCAATGCTGTCAGTTAAGTATTACCCTTGTCAATACTCATATTTGCAGTAATATTTTTACAATGTTAGACTTTAATTTAAATGAGAAATCAACATGGAGAACGAAATTTATGCTACTAAAATTTCCATACTTTTGTGTATTAGAATAAACAAAACATTTTTAGAACTTCATTTTTTGCCTGACTATAAAAATGATATGAATTTAAGATGGAGCATAAGAAAACTAAAGAATCAAATTAAAACTATTCACAGCTACACAGAATAAACATTGAAGACATTTCAATGTAGTTATTACCAATATTTATAAATAATATACAAACAAATACTAAAGTGATCAGTGGCTAATTTTATGTAACTGATAGATAGCTTGACAGCAAAACATATTTGGTATTTAAACATTGTCAGTTTCTTCCCTTCCAATTGACTTCAAACGCACATAGGGAGATTACCAAAGATGTAAGAGATGAATTACATGCTTCCCTCTCTTGGTTAATACCACTCTTCCAAATGCAGAATAAGTCCCACAAATAATTCCATGTTCAGAAGACTAGAGAGGACGAATTCATGACAGAACACCCCCCCAATCATTAACAATGACTGATTAAGCATCCATTAAGTGCAAGGAATATTGCTGGAAGCTAGGGATATATAGTCCCCACCCTCAAGAACTCACATGTGCTATTTATTCAAGATAAATAATAATTAACAATTAATGTTAAAGATAAATAACAATAGAAAATGGCTTATACTAAATCCCAGTGTGAGTGGCACCGACAATACTCATGTCAAGATCTCAGAGGAGGGAGTAATTACTGCAGGCACATTTACATCATGGAATTATGCACAAACTGGTGGTCATGATATGTTATTCTTTAAAGGTTGATTGTATTGGAACTTTACTATATTAAGGCTATGAATAGTACCACTTGGTATGCAAAGTGATATCAGCTTTAATGATCTCAAAGCACATAATAAACATTCTCCAAATGCAGCTTCCCTCCACTATCATAAAGTAATTTTGCAAATGAAGAAAATGAAGCAAATGAGGAAAATGAGAATGCCATTCTATCAAATTGGCATCGTTTTAAATGATAGAATTAAGAGATTACAAAGATCTTGATTTCTAGTTCACTAGTTCTCAGCAAACAAACGTATACAGTGAAGGACGGTGCGTGTGAAGAACAGGAAAGGGCCATCACGATTTGGTTTCAGTTGTAAAACTGGGAATAGTGACGTTAGAAAAAGTTGCCTGTTTTCCTATAGTTAAGCTACAGATAGCCCCAATTTTAAAAGATCATGGAAAATGTTTATTTTTTTTTCATTTCAAAAACAATCACTCCCTGACTATAAAAAAACGCTATATGTCTAAGACAGAATTGGTACATACAAAAGCTCTTTAAAGTCCTAAAAAGGAGTAAAACAACCCTACATTTGAACAAGTATCATTTACATTTTGCTTAGAATCAGTCTTTGACTAAGCACTTAAGGAGGAGGTATTCCATCTTAATGAAGTTGAAATCGTATGTAGGAAATGTGTAATAAAATAAGCCAAACATCCAAAGAGCCCTGAAATTTGTCAAATTAAATGGCTACAGTGGTTCTAGAAGTAAGTGGCTAAGAGGAATGGAAATTATTATGATATTTAGAGATACTTTGGATCTA